GGAGGCTTTAACCAACCACTCAGAGCATATGGAGTGGTATCGAGATGTTACCAGAGGTTCAGGCCCACGGAGAGGAGCTACAGTGGAGGCTGTGGTTAGTTATTGAGTGTTTCATATTTTAGTTTGAATTTTTTATAATTCGTAGTTGTGTGGAATATCTGACATTTTAAAAGTTAATTTTCAGTACGACACTATGGAGTACGCTGAGCTGAGTTTACATGATGGAGCACGGGCTGGAGGCATGTCTACAGACCAGATGATGGAGGTGGCTAACATGATGGCATCAGGGTTGCTGTTTTAGGTTTGGATAGGCGTCGTCATCCTGATGTTACAGTACCTGTTCAGCGATACTGATCAACACAACATGGCCAACTGGCTAGAGCGTACAGATCCGACGTCGGACTGAGCCGTACCAGAGCAACAGTTCAGACAGGAGTCGAGCATGCATAGACAGCGACGTGAGCATCGCGACGTACCTAACCCTGTGAGGATTTCAGATCGTCAGCAAGCACAACCCATCCGGCCTACTACGACCTTCCACTTTCAGCTGCAGTTTCAGCCAGACACTTCTTTTGGATTTCAGTCCAGGGCCTTCTACGGGATTTCAACCAGTGCCTTCTTTAGCATTTACGAGCCTTCTCAGTCGCATTTTCACTCAGTGCCTTCTATAAGCTTTCATCCACCAGACGGTAGCTTCCAAACACCGCAGTATGCTACGATGGGAGGCGGATACATGGCTTCAGGTAGTGATACTAGAGCAGACACGGAGGCAGGCCTGTGGGATCACCTAGAGGGTGATGCTACTTTTCAGGATACGATGTGGTCTTATGAGCAGCAGATTCAGGCGAGGCATTTGGTGGCAGTGCACCAGAGGAGCATATTCAGTCTCAGGTGGATGATATGTTTGGTACACAAGATCATGATGATATAGTGGAGGGAGATCAGCCCCAGCACGATGATGGTATGCCTCCCCGGAACAGGCAGACAGCAAGGTGTGGTACTGGCAGCCATCTAGTGGATCAACATGGTGGTCATCGTCGTGGTGGTCGTTAGTGAGACTATTATGCTTATGTTATTATTATGTACTTCTATGAATTTATTATATGGGCTATTATGTGGACTATTTATGTGGACTATTTTCAAATGAAAACTTTAAATATAAAAACAACAAACATTTTCTATGAGAAATCGAAAGTTACAGACAACTTCTTCAAACAATATCGACTACATGGAAAGAAAAACAACAACTAATACATTTGATAAAAGTTCGACCAAACTACATACCACGTCTATTACCACTACTTCCTCTTCTACCACCTCTCACACGTCGTTGGCCACCACTTTCTCTTCGCTGGCTCCCACTCACACTTGCTTGACCACCACAAGTTGATGCATTATGTCCAGTTTGGTTACAATTGCTACACACTTTTTGTGATACACCCTCTCTTGGACAATCCATCTCGTTGTGAATTCTTGTTGTTCGTGGCCTCCCCTACTTCCTAATCATGTTCACATTAGGATGGAGAGTATGACCATTATGCTTCTTCCAACCCTTAGGTTCACCAAGAGGTGTGAAACTTGTCCCATAACAAGCCAACATTGTTTCAAACTTGTAGACGTCGTTTACAAACCTATACGGATTAGCCCCCATTCGGTTGCAAGTTGCAACGGCATGAGAGCAAGAAATTTTATTTCTTTGAAATTTTCCACAAGTGCAAAATACATCCTGATTGTTGTCGTCGAAGTGCACTGTGAATGTGTTCGAACCCGTCATGTTGAAATTTTTGGGAGGAGTCTGAACTACATAGATGTCTTGACGTCAATCAACCCCTATCACGGAATGTCCAACTGCCTTTTGTGACCACGGCTTCATCAGCTCTTCACACTTGATAATGTACTGTGAACGACCACTTCTAATTTGTGTTTCTGTCTCCAACCTCATCTTATCGAATTTCTCCAACATTCGCCAATAAGTATGTTGCGCAAGAGAAGCTATAAAAAGTGAAAGAATACCTTTGAAAACACCATTGATGCTCTCTGTCATGTTGGATGTCAGGATAGACCATCGACGCCCACCATTATACTTATCATGTGCTATGCTCCAACAAATTTGATGTTGGTCCACCCAATTATCACAAGAAATATTCCTATCAGCGGCCACCTTCTTAAATTGCTCAACTTGACGATCAAACTTCTCCAAGCGTTGTTCTCCGGCTAACAAAGTAAATAACCACACGAGTTAGATAAATTCATGACAAAATTAAATGAAAATAGATAATACATTAAAATAAATAACAAAATTAAATGAAGAAGGCTTACCGACTCGAAATAGTTGCTTATACATAATTCTGCTTTTAGTCTTCGTTTGTAAATTGCTTGCATACTGTCGCATGCACCACCTACACTCCCAACCTCTTCCGATGTTACTCATGGCTTCATAGAGTCCCGCATGTCTATCTGAGATGATGCACACATCATTTTGATCGGTCAAACCTTGAACGCGACTTATGAACCATGGCCAACTATCAGCATTCTCGCTTTCCACTATGGCAAATGCAATTGGAAAAATCTTCTTGCAGCCATCAAATGAGCTCGCCATGAGTAGCACTCCTTTAAACTTTCCAGTAAGAAATGTTCCATCAATAACCATGACTCCTGGACAATTCTTGAATCCATCTATACAAGGTCCATAAGCCCAGAACACTCGCTTAAAGATCAAGACCTGGTTGCGATGAAGGAACTCTTACCCAATCAATCACTGATGTCGGCATTTTTCTCTTTACCACCTGCAAGAATGTTTGCAAATAATCGTAGGATTCTTCCCGATTTCCATGCAACTTCTCCAATGCTCTTTGTTTCCCATACCTAGCCTTCTTGTAACTTGCATATTAAACTTATCTTTCAACTCGACCTACACAGTTAGAACACTGAGATTTGGTTGGACACGTACCAAATGTTTGACGGACTCATATATAACATCGACATCAAAATGGCAATGATCCGTCGGTTGAATCGTACTGCTACAAGAATGCATCAACTAGGCCTTTCTCACAGTCCATTCGCTTCCAACATCTCGACATCCAAACCGCACCATCCAAGGACAATTGTCATCCTTGTGCTTCAAGCATCTGACCTTTCAGATTGAAGGTGACGACTCCACCACGCCATACTAAAAGTTGCGTTGTAGTGCGTGGTGTTTAATCGCCACCTGTGCAGCTTGTTTCGAGTGAAATATCTTGCTCTTGTAGAATTCTCCTTCAAAACCAGCAACAATAGGCATTGGAATTACGCCATATGAATCAGCATATGATAATTCATCGTCCTCTTCATTACCTTGCAGGTAAAAATACGGAGGATAATTAGGCTGCTCTCCTTCGTCATCTTCCTCCTTCTCCTCCTCCTCCTCCTCTTCTGCATCTTCCTCCTCTTCGTTAACATCGTCATGATCGGATGGCATGCTCCATGTCTCATCTTCTTCCTCTCCACCCCGATCCCCACTGAGCTCAGCATGTATCTCAGCACCCAAACAATAAGGGTTTTGTGCTATAAATCGAAAAGCACATTCAAACTATCATCATCCACAATAGGCATCGCATAATGAAATAAAACACCATTCTGCCATTCTGGAAGACGGTAAGTGAAACATGTGATCACATCACTATCTTGTATTGCTTCGTCTCTACGTCGTATTCTCGGAATTATATTCTCACAAAGTTTGTGATATGTCACCATGGATGCAGGGGCGGAGCTAGGATCTAGTGGTCGGGGGGGCCGGACTTTATTGTATAATATTCGTAAAAAAAATTAAGAAAATATTTACATTGTGAGCATAAGCTTCAAAATTTAATTATCTAGACTCCAAAATTTAATTATCTAAATTAGAAAAATATTATAAGCTCCAAAATTTCATTATCTAGTTTGAACTTTGAAATTAAAAAGTATTTGAATAAGTACAAAAGTTAAGTGATCAATCTAAATTTTAAACAAAAATTCAATCAAAGTAGGAAAACTAAAAAAACAATGTTACTGCCAGGGATTGAACCATGGTACTAGGTATTCACAAATACCAAGCAGCTACATTCCGTTAGACTAAACCCAAACATTGTTGCTCATTATTGCACGTTATTGTATTCTACAATAGTTAACTTCTTCAGAATTTTCAAAATTTCCGATATTTTTACACGCGATCTCCAAAATTCTCGGGGGGGCCGGGGCCCCCCCGAGGCACAAGGTAGCTCCGCCCCTGCATGGATGGAACCATCAACTGAAAACTTCTACCACCAACGAATTGGCGTTCAAATTATCCTCTACTTTCTCCGATTTCCGCCGAACAACTATTTCAAATCTTCTAAAATAACTACATAAAAACATCACTAATTAACTAAACAAAATCATAATAGCATTTGAAGAATATAATTAAAAAAATAAATTTGTCTCTTACCTATTAGTCATCTTTGCACCAACCAGAGCTTCTCTCGTCTAATCTCGTGAATTTTTTTTTTGTGGTGAGCAACTGAAAGGAAATTAGGTGGTTTTATGGGGGTAAATGCCAGTAGTATGCCAGCGGACCCGCCTTAGTCATGGGCGCCATCGCTGGGTACAATTTCCCACCAACTTGCCTCAGTCTCTGGCGCAGCCGCCGGTCAACCTTTTTGAAAATTCTTAAAAACCTTTGGGAATGGCGGTACCACCTTAGTCTTGGGCGCCCCCGCTCTCACCTTAATCAAATTGATTAATAAAAACAGAAATAGCGGCAGCACCTGAGTCTCGAGCAGTATTGTCGATTTTGCTCTCCAAAATACAATAATTGTGTCAATACTTTTAAACCATCATATTAATGGTAAATATAAAAAAAAAAGACAATATTTGTGAAATTTACCCCATAAAATTCTCCACAGAATCAGAATTTTGCACCTTGTGAATTAAAGCCAAGATAGTGAAATTTTCCACTTTTGGCATGTTGCTAGTAGCAATTGAAGGCTTTTTTGTGCTAAAAAAGCGTTTTGTAGAAGAGAAGAAAAAAGACGTGTATTCCTTGCAGCTATATTAATGCTCTAAATTAGTGAAGACAATAAAGGAAATTTAAAACAAAATAGCCCAATTCATTTGAACATCATTACTACGCATACTTGCTATCTAACAACTCAGGGACAGTCAGAAAATGACTACAAATCACAGCACTCCAAATGAGCTAAAACATCCAAATGAAAGGCATTCAAAGGTCGGTAGGTAGTGATATTGCAGGCGAAAAAAGAAAAAGGGAAATGCAAATAAAAGTCTCTATGATCTCAACCTTAAAGGTTCTCTTCACGACTCTATAACATCTCTTCCTTTCCTAGCCATCAGACTACAGTTTGCCATCTGAGCATTCCCCATAAGAGAGTGAGAACTGATAATACATTCTGATATGTACTTCAGAAACAATGCTCTCTTCAAAGCCAGAAATTGCAAAATTCTTAATCAGAAACTCATACCGGCAACACTTTTTTTCCATTTCTATCGAACTATTATGCCGAGCAGCAACCGACTTTCTTGACAGCGGATACATCATCCTTCCCCACACTTATGGTCTGTCCCTTAGGCAAGGCTGCTGGGTCATCCCCAACATCAAGTGCCTTCCTGCTGACAACCCGGTAAATCTGAGTCAGCACCTCAGTGAACGCATTCTCCACATTCAAAGACTCCAGTGCAGATGTCTCCATGAAAAATGTGTTCTCTCTCTCAGCAAACGCCTTGGCATCCTCGGTCTGAACAGCACGCAGGTGTCTCAGATCTGCCTTGTTCCCCACAAGCATGATCACAATGTTAGCATCTGTGTGATCCCTGAGCTCCTTCAACCACCTCTCCACATTTTCAAAAGTAACATGCCGGGTGACATCATAAACGAGCAACGCACCAACTGCACCTCTGTAATATGCACTGGTGATTGCCCGGTATCTGTCAGCAGAAAAGCTTATTGGTAAGGACCCAACTTGGAGGCTCGTTACAGAGAAAAATAATAACCATATCTACTCAGAAAGAGAATGGGCAAGCAATGCAAAAGCCAGTATTTAAATGGTCTACTAATATATAAAAGGGAAGCACGGACTATGACAACACCAACTACTGTGAGCAGCTCAAGTAATGTCGTAAGAACAAACAGTACTTATATCAAGTTATCAACAATTGAAAAGAGAACAACAAACATGCAGCCGAAACAGGGAAAATGTCAGCTTATCTTTTGATGTCTCAGCTTATACACACATAAAAATACTGTAAATTGAGTTCATACAGACTATTCAATCAGAGTTGCTCTAGAGAGACAACTTTGCAAACCCTTTACCAAACACAAACAATGGATGTGCATACATTAATTCACTTTCAAATATTAAGATCTAATACATCCTGCAATTGATGCTTCACATAGAGAATCAAGCAAAATAAACTAGTCTGACAGCCTACATAAAATCCATACTTGGGGTCGTAGATATTACAAGTGGTGGTGCTTCAGAGAGTATATTTCATGCATCCAGGAGTAGATGCATCATGAATGCACAAGGGACCAACACAGACTAGTGAGTAGACAACCATAATAGAATTCCTGCCTTGTTCTCAAGTCAATTGATAGCACAAACCAACAATATCTTTTTCAAATAAGCTGCCAGAAGCTCGAAGAGAAGAACATAGCATTGTATCTAAGGTAGTGTGATCTTAGAACTATGAAGGACTTGGCTCTGCATCAACAAATGTGCATAGCTAGCTACTAGTTGTCATCTCCTCCTAATGAAACTGGTACTTAGGCATGACAAACTTAAAATATAATTTTATCAATGCAGTTTTGAAACATGAAAAACTGGCGATGAGTTTTCTCTATCTTCTTTCATTGCCACAATGATAGTTCCTGCGATGATAATGCCATAATGGAAAGTAAAATTTTGACCCTGGAATTCCAACAGTTCCAACGTAAACCATTATAATGCATTTTCTTTGGACACAGAATAAGATTGGCATATTAATGATCCAAGATTCTAGTAACCATTTTGGAGCTTCATCACAGTTCCAAAAGAAAAGGCAGAAATCAATCTTTAATATAAGATCCCAACACTCTAATGAAGCAAGATCTTAATAAGATTAACCCTGCTCGAAAGCTCCCCATTCAAACACAGTATATCTACAAATGTTGCATGATGAGTCAGTCCCAACTTTCGCATGAAACATGCTTCATATACAGTATTCATTTCCAAAATATCTGGCGAAGAAACAATATTGCAAAGAATATATGGTGAGGTACGTGATTATAACTCAAATAAACAGTTTTAAGGCTAAAATGAAATACAAGCATATCTAACCAAGAAGATATGCCACCAAACTCTACATGTTCGAGAATGAAGACAAGTAATTGAACAACTTTATGATGACATGACATCATAGATAACTTAAAATGGGTACCAAATATCATCATAAACCCACATACCTCATAAAATTCATTCAACCAGACGCCAAAATGAACAGCAAAATGAGCCCTAATCATCTTAAACCTCCCAAATCTTGAAGGAAACGGCAAAGGCAAAAATTTAAGGACAAATCATGAAACGACGAGACAAACAAATCAGAGGGTGTAAGCGCGCAATTGATAAGCGTTTTCAGGGCACAGATCTACCCACGTGAAGGCAATGTGAGAGCTATGGCAGCGAATTTAAAACCAAGAAGGCAAGAAATTTTCAAGATCCAAAAGAGGAAACACCTTTCTTGCCCAGCAGTGTCCCAGATCTGGGCCTTGACGACCTTGTCATCAACGTGGATGCTGCGAGTGGCGAATTCGACGCCAATTGTGGATTTGGATTCGAGGCTGAACTCGTTCCTGGTAAATCTGGATAAGAGATTGGATTTGCCGACGCCGGAGTCGCCTATCAACACGACCTTGAACAAGTAATCATAATCGTCGTCGGCCCTGTAAGCCCCCATTATTGTTGTCGTTGATGATTATAGTTAACTGGAATTGAAAGAATCGGGAAAACCAACGATCGATCGAGACCAGCTGTCTGCGATTCCCAATTTTTTTTCTAAATCTCCAATCCAAATCTCTCGCGAAATGCGAGATCTATTGAAGGTGGAAGACTAGGACGACTAGGGCAATGGGATGTGTGGATCTGACTTTCGAACTGTTTAGGAGAGGGAGGTATTGAATTGAATGGGGACGTTTCCGAATTTTAAATGGTTTGACGTTCTTTAACAGAGAGAAAGAGAGGAGAGGGCGGCGCTTGTAATTTTCTTTTCTAAAGAGAAAGTGGGTGCGTGCTTAAGATTTCCCCAGGAAAAGAAAAAGATAGGAGACTAAGCGAGAAATTTAGGCAACACGCCACCAACACGCAATAAGATGCAAAATAATGGGCAAGTAGTTTGTGCAAATAAATATATGATTTTTAGTTGGCTTTTACCGTACACGATGTGAAATTCGGGATATCGTATAACTTGAGTGTGAAAACGCTATCTAGACCTCAAATTAGCAGGATTTTTTTGCCTGATATTATACTCTAACCATTGATGAGCGAACTCTTGGTCCTAATTATCTAAATCATAAATTATAAACCCTAAGATGGTGCATTCATTTTTTGCCTATATTTGGACGAATCATAGCCGTCAATTATTGTTTGTAATTAAATTAATCTTAGGGTATAAGATTAGAGATTAAGACGTAGATTTTGATCTTTAAGGGTTAGAGGGTAGTGATTTTCGACACCCTCCTTTTGATTGGTCAGTTTTATACTTAATTATTAGACAAGTATTAATGGCTGTCCCAAATAAATATGGATAGAGAAATTATTAACTGTCATATTAATTATGCACGGGAAGGGGGCAATTTAGCTGGATCCCTGGATGAAAATTGTGGCGTTTCTACTCCCTTTCCCTTTGTTTCTATTTTCCCCCTCCCTCCTCTGCTATTTCCCCTTGTTTCTTTCCATTGCTGTGGAGAACCGTAGCTCTGGTTCATCACTACACGGCTGGCGGGATCCATCAGTTGCAAAAATGGATGATTACATCGTCCAGTTGGATGGCGGAGGTCCCTGTGTACACAAGTCTGCCGGCAAACGTTCCCTCGGATTTGACCTCAATATAGAGTATACTAGCAACGGCGACGATCTCTTAAAACTTGGGCAGTCCAGCTACGACTCTTACCAACATCCTGAAGATCTGGACGATCCGGCCTCCGTGGAGCATTCGCCTGATATCATCATTGCGAATGTCGAGCCCGTTGGAGTCGTGGAGGAACAACAGAATTGTCTTAGTAAGTACCACTGTAGTGGTATTTTTCATCATTGAAGTGATAGTGCAATAAGTACCACTGTAGTGGTATTTTTCATCATTGGTATTCTTTTACAATTTATTGCACAATTCCAAACAGCTCTTCTGATACAATTTTGTTATAAACTCAGGTGTGGTTGGCACCGTGGTCCCAGAAGACGAGTCGGCATGGAAGCATTTGCGTTTTGAGGACGAGGATGAATTTATTAGGTTCTACAAGAATTTTGCTCATGGAAGAGGCTTCTCAGTTAGAAAGACTGGTGCAATTTACAAGAGAAGATCATACTTTCCACATCCATTTATATTTTACTTTGGAGGGAGGTGTAGCAAAGGGGGCTACAAAGAAGGCAGCATATTGGATCCTAAAAATAAAAAAGATGTCGTGGATTATTACAGTGATAATGAAAGGGATAGGGGTGAGACTCGTTTTGGTTGCAAAGCAATTGCAAGGTGCAGGTATGAGCACAGCACCAGAAATTACAGAATTTATAAATGGACGGACGTCCACGACCATGAGTTACATGATGAGGCCTCACGACGATTCTTTCGCTCGAATCGGGAAGTAACTGCTGAATATGCTTTTTTTGAAAAAATAAATGATGCTGCTGGGATCCCGGTTTCGAATACTTTTGATTCATTTGCTGCTGCGGCAGGAGGTAAGGAAAATCTGCCTTTTATTCAAACGGACTTGAAGAACTATATCCAAAAAACAAGGAAAAAGCCTTTCACCCGGGGCGAGGCTAACATGTTTCATAAGTATTTTAAGAGCAAGGCTAAATGTGACCCGTCATATTTCAGCGAGATGCAAGTTGATGAGAAAGATGAGATTTCAACCATTTTTTTCGCTGACGGTAAAATGAGGTTTGATTACGAGTGTTTTGGGGATGCAATCAGTTTTGACACGACGTATCGTACCAACAATGGATGCAGACCATTAGGTACGTTAATCAGTGTTACCAACTATCAAAGTACTGATACTTTTCATTGTTTTGGTAGTTGTCATCTGACATTTGTGATACATGTCCATTGTTACAGCTTTATTTGTCGGCTTTAATAATCACAGAGAGCTGTGCATTTTTTGTGTGGGCCTGATGTGCGAGGAAACAGCAGAAAACTTCTCATGGCTTTTCCAACAATTCCTTAAGTGTATGTCTGATAAGCAACCGGTTTCTATATTCACCGACCAGGCCAAAGCAATAGCGGTAGCAATAAAGAAACATTTCTGTGAGTCACTCCATGGTCCACCTGGCATATTCATCAAAATGGGATGGTTCAGGCAAGAGATTCAAATCTTGATGTATAACGTTGACACGGAGGATGAATTCGATCATGTATGGACAAGAATGATTGAAACTTTTTTTCAAGGGAAAGGTCCAGACGGACATCGCTGGTTAGAGAAACTACGTAAACACAGGTTTGTTTGTCCTTCTTTAATTGTTTTGTTTTCATTGGGTTATCATATAAGTACCACTCCAGTGATACTTTGTAGTGTTGTATCATGCTGACTATAAAGGTAGTGGTAGTTTCTACCACTAACCGTATACTTTGTACCATATTTCACCATTGCAGGCACAAATGGTCTAGGCTGGGTCTGCGAGAGCATAGAACAAATGGAATGAGAAGCTCCCAACTCAGTGAATCATGCAACAGCAACCTACGGAAGTATCTAAAGTCAGACCACAACTACTCGCAATTTTTTGAGCAGTTCGACAGAATGCTTGAAAAGAAAAGAGAAAACGAAAAAGCAAGGGATTACCAGTTGGTCAATGAAGCACCTCCTGTGCGTTACTCAAAATGCCCATTTACCGACCAGGTAAAGAATTTGTACACATATAAAGTACTCAAAGAATTCCTGAATGAGTACGGGAAAAGTCTCGCATATTTGCTTTGTCCAAATGTTGCAAAAGACGAGGAGGGATGGATTGCATTTGACGTGTACACATTTGAAGGTGCTGGCTTCGATAAGATTGACGAGAGGACGGTCCACGTCAAAATTGAAGAGCGGAAATTTAGATGTAGTTGCCACCATTTTGAAACATGGGGCTGGTTGTGTAAGCACATATTAAAAATAATGGACCACTTACGATCGCGACCGGAGACACAAGAACTGAAGGAGATCAACAAGGATTATATATTGAAAAGATGGACTAGGCATGCAAGGGAAGACATAGCTTTTAACCTACAACAACCTAGTCAACTGCAGGAATCTTCTTTAGTAGCAAGGGTAAAAAAGTTGACAGGGATGATGAATGTCATGGCCATCCATCTTTCTTCAAATGACGAGGTTTACCAGATGTTACTTGAAGGCTTGGAGAAATTGAAGGTGTCTGGTGAGGAAATCGTGAATACTGCTGCAAGTAAGTTGTTATAGCATATACATGTACACTCATTTTTGTACCAATACACTGGTAGTTCTTACCAGTTATCTTAAACATTTGTGCAGTTTACTAAAAAACAACTTTTGTGCAGGAAAGCAACCTTGATCGGCCACTGCTGACATCCCTGAAGAAGGTGCGCCAAACATTGATGAACCAGAGGCGAGAGGGAAAATAGTTAAAAAGAGGACAGACGTAAAGCGGACTAAGAAGCGAATGAAACCTGCTTCGGAATACGCTTCAGAGAAAGCAAGAAAACAATTGAATGCTGAGATGAGCCATAAAAAAATCTAAGACAAAGTAGGATTGCAGCTTATTTTTCCCTATTATGATGTATGCTGATTTTTTCTTATCACTGTGGTTGCGAGAGATAAGATTCATGGTAACTTACATTGGTTATATCCCGATTTTTTTTTATAAAAGTGGAGTGGTACATTTACAAATGGAGTGGTACATGTACCAGTAGAGTGATAGATGTACCAATATAGTGATATCCTGTCAACTTCTATGTGTTATATCCTGTTTTTTTTTCATATTATGAACTGTGCTGAATTTTTTAATCACTGTGGTTGAGAGAGATAAATTATATAACTTATATTGGTTATATTCTGGATTATTTTTATCATATAGAGTGGTACATGTACAAATGGAGTGGTACATGTACCGGTGGAGTGATAGATGTACCAGTGTAATGATATCCTGGTAACTTCAATTCTATTGGTTATTTTCTGGGTTTTTTATCACAACTTATTTTTTATATTATAGCGTGTGCTGAATTATAAGTTTGTTGTTTGAATTTTTGATTCTCTGACAGGTAACTATGGTTTAAGTAAGAAAAACACATTCTGATCTACCACTACACTGGCATATGTTTCAGACTACCACTAAACCGATACCTGTTTTGATGTACCATAGTAGTCATCTCTTGACTGTTAACGGTCCTATCTAGGTACCACACCATCAACAAATGTAGATCTCCATTTGTATATTTTGTAGTCTTATTCTGCCGAAATGATTGCTTCATAAAACTCCACAGATAATGGCACCAGTTGTATTCAGCAAACTCATTAAACTCATCGTCTTTTAGATACGCCAACACCGAAGATTCAACAACATTCTTGGTGCTTGGTTTGAACAGGTATCCAAAACAGAACATGACAAACAAATGTACCCACAGTTTGTCATCCTGAATTGTTGGTAATAGCTTTTTCAAAACCCACAGCTTGTGCCAATCTGGGTCTTCTCCTTCCATACCAGGGAGTTCATCACGCAACTCCTTGCACCTGTCCCAATCAAAAGTCGTCACCGTCTTTTTACCCCTAGGAAGTCCATACACTCGATGAACATCATCAACTGTAAATGCAGTGCCATCATCCATGATGATGGACATTGTATCCGCATTGAACTTGGTTACCAACCAATTCAAAAGCGGCTTGTCAAACCTCCTCATTTGCAGCTCAAAAACAACACCCAAACCCAGCTTCTTCAGTATAGCCCTTCTCTCGTTTGACACTCCATCATTCACCACTTCAATAATAGAGTTAGGGCTGCACTTCTTGCCGGATACATCATCAGTACGATTCCTCTTGTTCCGACCTTGTCCTTCTTTTTCCTTGCTCTTACGGCGTCGTTTCTTGCTGGTACCCTCACTAGAGGAACTAGACTGATTTAGTGGTATTTCAAC